CCGGGATCACTCTGCGGTACTTCCTTGATTTCTCGGTATTTTAGGAATGAACTGCCCTCAGGAATTTCTTAGAATTTCAGCCCCTTCATGGGTCTTAAAAACCTTTTTCAATGAATTTTCTCGGAAATTGTCTGAAGTTTCACCACTAATCGAAAAAATCATCCAGAACTGAACTCTGATGCGCAGACCCCCAGTTTTTTTGGAGTAGGAAAAAGTTTCACAAATATTAGTTCTGTCCTGTGTACCACAAGTACGGCTGACTGATGAAATTTAAGAAAAATCTATCCCCCTCCCAGTTCTTCCAGCCGTATTCAATGCAGTGCCTCTTATATAAAATGTCTTAGATAGGACTCATTCTACTTGAGATTGCTGTCATCAAATCCCACTTTTTGGGCCTATCCGTTGGCTTTAGTGTAAGTTAGCCGGCTAATTTTTCGGCTAAATTTTGTGAAAAAGCCTAACGTTAAACAATGAAATACTTTTCGCCTAACCACAGGTAAGTTTGCAGTCTTTGTTTCCTCCCTTAGCTATAAACGCAGACAGTGCCTCTGATGCTATGCAAGTAGGAGTGGAAACCGTCAGTGCAGCCTTCTGTTCGCCGTATATGAAAAAGATTAAATAAGCATGACAAGGATAACAGGTGAAAAGAGAGGAGAACAGAAGAGAATAGATTTATAGGAGGAGTACAGAAGAGAGGAAATAAAAACAAGAATAAATTCAGTTGCTGATCGGTTGATAGTGTTAAAAAAAGATTATTTAAATATATATGAACTTACGTCTAAGATATTGTGAGCTGATTTATGATGTATAATTTGAATTATTCAGGACACATACTGGCGAACGGCCGTATCCATGTGCGCACTGTGATAAGGCATTCACTGATAGTTCAACACTTACGAAACATCTTCGAACTCACACAGGTACATGCCGTCTTACATTCTCGACTATTTGCTAGGAAAAGCCACGTTTCAATTGAAACCTAGGTATGTTTAATGCATAATCCACAACCTTGTACTTTGTTCTCCAGTCTATTTTGGGTAACGATTTCACATAAATTCAATTTCACAAAAAAAAAAGTTATCTGTCTTCTGTCTTCTTGAAGTTTCAATATTGGATTCTCACCGAAGCTCAGTGAATTAATCTCTAACAGGATTTTTTCCTAATTTATCTTCAAAATTGGATTCCTCTCTGTTTGAAGCATTAAGATGAGGAAGGAGAACAGAGTGTGTGAGGGGAGGGTGGGAAGAAAGGAACAGGTATTTGTAGACTCAGGCTTCCACGCTTCTCTTCCTGAACTTTCAGATTAGAATTTTTGGGCATGAAGTTCCCATAAAACTTTAGAAGAAACGATACAGCGGTGGTAGAGTAGGTTATCCGAGAAGGGAAAATTAACTGGGAGTCCATTGCTTGCAAAATGTACATCCAGTGCTTCATATTATCTGGTTGCAGGACAAAAGCCATATCAGTGTTACATGTGTCTGATGCGATTCACGCAGTCCGGTAATTTGCACCGCCATATGAAAACACATCGAAGCCAGCCATGAATTCACGGCATCCAGTAGTGCACTACTGCATTTGTGGCCAATGTCAAGAATGACTTTATTTTCAAGGCACACACACACAGTGCCTGTGAATATTACAAAAAATGCATTTTTGCACAGATATTTCAATGAATAAACGCAAATACAGTACCCTGCAAATGGCAACAACTCAGTAGGTGGCGACTACAGTATCCTAAAACGGATGCAAATGCCTAAGGATGATTGATTACTCGCTCTTTGAAGCAGCTCAATCACCACAAATTTTTCATGCTCTTTATTGCTGGATTGAGCGGGGAGGCGGGAAAAAAAAGAAATGAGGGACGCGTACTTTCCCTTCCAAAAAATCCCAAATCTCCACGATTTGAAATTTCACAATATTAAAAAAAAAACTTTCAGCCAGAACCTTTGGAAAAGCGAACTCTTAACTATGTAACTTATAAATCGAGTTCTGAACAGATTCCAAAGCTGAATCGAAAAAACATATATGAGAGAATACGAGTTAGAAAAGCCAAACGTGAGCGTTTAAGAGTCCGAGAAAAAAAAAAACCACTGAACCATCCGTTTTTCTCTTTTTCCTTTCCCAACAATTTCTAACAAAACAGATTATACTTCACAAGAATAACGAATATCACAAGAGAATATTA